CCCCCCCGCAGGGATGCATCTGTGGGAGGGGATGACAAAGGGGGAGTGGGGAGGGTCTCCCCGGGATCGGGATGGGATTCAGCAGGATGCCTGGTGGGAGGGGGTTGGAAAACCTGACACCCCCCCAAAAAAACCCATCCATCCTTAAAAACAAGCCCCTTAAATAACACTCGGTGGTAATTACATCTTGAAACTGGGGAAAATACGGGAGCAAATCCTCACCCGGGGGGGATCAGCCACTTGGTGGTGGGATGGGGACAGGTTCTGAGGGGCTCCTGCGGGTTGGGGACCACCACCATCACCACCACCATCATTCATATGCCCTTTTTTCCCCCTTCCCCTCCCCAAATCTTGCATTACAGCTCGTGTTTTAAAGCAAAGGTAAGGGCAGGGATGGGTTAATGGGCACAGCAGCGGTTGGAGAGGTCTCTTCCTTCCTCTTGAACTGGAATTTTGATCTGGGAGACACTGGGATGCCCTGCTAAGGATGGTTTAACCCCTCCCGCTCTTCCCTGCTAAAGCCCAGTGAGATCCTTCACCATGGGAAGCCCTTTTCCTTAACCAACATGGGCAAAGATTTGGAGTGAAACATTTGAGAAGCTGGTGGCCCTCAGCAGTGTCCCCACCACAAGGGAGTCCCCCACTGGGCTGTGACCTTCCCAGAACCTTCACTTAAGCCACAACTTGGCCAAGGAAAGGGCTTGGGATCATGGGCTTTCCTCCCATTCTTCTATCTATCCAAAAAAACATGTCCCACCAGGGCTGCAGGTCACTGCTGGCATGAGCTATGGGGCATCAAGCCCCACATCATGGCAAGGAGCAACTCCCCACCACCACGACCCCATGAAGCCACCTTGGGAAGGAGCTACCCAAGTGTGGAGCCACGTGATGGCCCTGAAGCCACGCAGTGGTCCAAGCCTAAACCCAACACCTGCTGCCAAACGTGCTCATCAAAGCCTCTCACCCAACAGCTGGCAAATATTTCACCTCTTCACACCCTGGTTGAGTTAATGAGTATTTCTGCCAAGGCATAATGGGATGAGGGGCATCAGATCTACTACTGATCCAAACAAAGGAATTAAAGCTAAACCACCCCATGTCAAATCTCATTAGTGGTAACTCTGGGTGATCCTCCATGCTCAGCCCCTGGAGCTTTCTACACCACCTTAGTGTTTCCTTTCCTTGTCGGAGAAAGCATCTCCTTCCAGCCACGGGCCAACAATTCAGCAGTGGTTCCTAACGTGGTTAAGGGTGAAGGATGCCTCAGCCAGTGGTAGGATGATGTCTGCTGGTGGAGATCTGCTGGGAAAGATCCTCCTCTACAGAGCCCAGGCTGTGATAATGAAGCTTCTTGGACCCTTGCAAGTCACCGTGCCGTTACATTGGCAAGAACTTACTCTAGTCTATGTGTTTTAATGCTGATACGTAACGTGAAGTCAACAGTGAGAGTAAAAAAAGGATATTTGAGAGGTCTTCAAACCCTGTGATCTATAGGGGTTGGGTTCTTTTGGCCCAGGTTTAACTCTAACGTGCTACAAACAGTGGAGGGATGATGTAGTATTGGTATTTCCAAATGTCTCTACGTGCTAACCCTTGGCTTCGCCAAGTTCAACGGGGCAACCCTCTGATTATTTACTCTTTTTTTTTTTTTTTTCCTCCTCTTCTTCTCTTTTCCTTTTATACAAACACAAAGTGCAACCCAAAGTACTATGCGGGAGAAATCCACCTTCCCCACCCCACAGCACTGGTGTCCAGTCTTCACCCACTTAGTTCCCCTTATGTTTGGGAAGGTCAACCAGAGCTCTGCTAGATTTCCTTTAAAACCAGAACCAACCAACCAACCCCCAAAAAGAAGTGTTGGCACCAACACCTGACCTGACAGACTACCCAGAAAAAGTCCTCTTGCGTCCCTACGCTTGTGTCTCCCCATCTGGACCTTGCTCATGGGAAGGAGCTCTGGTAGCTCCTCCCAATGGCAGCAGAAGCCAAGCTGGGAGACACCACCAAGAGCAAGGAGGTCTCACCCAGGTGCCAACAATCTGTCACTTTGCTCTTCTGAAAGACCCTCCAGTGTGACCTCTACACCACCATGTCCTGGTCAAGATGACCCTCCAGAGCTGGTCCTCACTGCCCTCACCTCCATCTGGAGATGTGATCCAGGCATGACCAAAACAGGGCAACCAACAGAGACATCTGGACGTTGACTCAACACCACACGTGGGGTGGAAACCCCTGGCAAGCAGCGTCAGGAGGGATTCCCATCCACACATCTCCACCTGACCTCTTTAAAGGCTCTGGATTTGGCTCCCTGTGAGAACCTCGGAGCCCAGGAGACATGAGAGTTGCAAACATCTCCGTGTGAATGCAACGCTTTTGGCACGCTTGAGGGAAACATCAAAACCCAATGATGTTCTTTTCTCTTAGGGAAAAAAGAAGAAGAAAAACCTTGTTTCTATGCTGGGTTTAGGGATAAGGACTTCAAAATAACTCAAACTGGCCGCAACTGTTGTCTGCAAACAAACACTCTCATCTCTGCCCTCGAGACAACTTATTGCTCTACTTGGAAACCCCGAGGTGGGAAGTCACTGGCTGTGGTCGGCTTCACGTCCTCGTGCCCTTGGGTAGGCCAAAACTCCCTGAAACAACCTCAAAACCCACAGCCTCTGCAGGCCTATTGTCTTCCAGCCTGGTCCACGTCAACTGTGGATCACGTTCCTCGCTCTCACCTTTTCTCAGGTGCCTTCCATGAAGAAGGCGACGTGTTTATTGCTATTGCTTCCTCTTCCCCCTGCTTCTCCATGCTCACCAAGCAGAGCAGCTGGACATCATTTTCCTCTCCAGCCTTTCTCTATCTTTGCAGGATTTGTGCCTGGATGAACGTTTGTCCTGCGTCTCCAAGCCCAGCTGTAACCCAAAGAACGGGGTGCCACCTTAATCACCATGGAGGCATCATGGTTTGGTCTCAGCCCTGCCAAAGGTGTGAATGCAAGGTGAAGCCACCCATCTTTCCTCCTTGCCCTGCCTCAGAGACTCTTCTCCATTGACCAGCCACCCATCTTTCTCCACACCACCAGACTCTGGAGAAGCTCTTCAGACCAGCCCTTGGATCTGGAGAAGCTCTTCAGACCAACCCCTGGATCTAGAGAAGCTCTTCAAACCAACCCTTGGACCTGGAGAAGCTCTTCAGACCAACGCCTGGATCTAGAGAAGCTCTTCAGACAAACTCCTGGATCTAGAGAAGCTCTTCAGACCAACCCTTGGACCTGAAGAAGCTCTTCAGACCAACCCTTGGATCTAGAAAAGCTCTGCAGACCAACCCTTGGACCTGGAGAAGCTCTTCAGACCAACCTCTGGATCTAGAGAAGCTCTTCAGACCAACCCTTGGACCTGGAGAAGCTCTTCAGACCAACTCCTGGACCTGGAGAAGCTCTTAGAACCAACCCTTGGACATCTCCTTGCTTTCTTCACCAGCTGCCCAGCACACTTCTGCCTGCAAACGGTTGCATGCAAGGAAGGAGCCACCTTCTCCCTCGCACAGCCCCAAGACGTGGCTGATGGGGAGCATTATCATTTGTCCCCAGAGGTGCGAGATGCTACCAGGGCACACGTCTCTCCTCTGCTCTCTTCCCATCACACAAGGTCCGTTTGCCCAGTTGGAAAAAAGCAGACCAAAGACCTGATGGTGACCAGTCCTCCTACTTCCTAAGACAAGTGTGTTACGTCGCTAATTATATTTATATTCTCTTACTCCTACAAAAGAAGGGATGAGTTCAGAATTTTCACTGCAGATAATGCATTTATAATCTATCACGACAGCTATCTGGAAGACACCAATTTTTTCTTGTAATATGTTATGGAAGATTAAATAATTTATATTATTCAACTAAAAAATACCCAAACCAAATCGGAATAAGCCTGCCTACCAGCGCTGTGCTTTTTCACATAGTACCCTGAACATCAACCACTCTTAACTAGCCAAAGAAAATCTAGGCTCTCGTCAACGACAACGACAACAGAAAAAAAAAAAAAATAAAAAATAAGGAAAAAGAACCCAAACGAACGAGAAGTGGGGGATCTTGGCGCCACTCAGCTGGGCAATGCTGGAAAAGTGAATATTCTGAGCTTTTGAACGATAGGACCAAAGAGAGAACTTTACTATTGCTCAGTGTCAGAATGTGTGTTACACCATTTATGTGGGCTGGGGAGGAGGAAAGGGGGAGAGGAGAAAAAAAAAAAAAAAAAAGAAAAACAAAAAAAAAAAAGGGGAATTTTGGGGTTCTTGTTTTGTTTTTCTGTTGATAGACTGTGTTTACTGCATCCACAACAAGG